CACTTTTACAGGTGAAGATAAGCCATTTCCTAACAAAACTTTGTATCGTTCTGCTATAGGCAAGCTAAATTTCATTCAAAGAATCTCAAGACCAGATATAACTTATGCCTTTCACTTTCTGGCAAAATTTGTGGAAAAGCCCACTACACAATGTTTCTCTGCTCTTAAGAGAGTGGTAATGTACCTTAAACATACCAAACATTATAGGTTGCAGTTTACAACATGTATTGACAAAGGTTTTGAAATTTTCTGTGATGCATCTCATGCAGTGGAACAAAATAATTGCAGGGGTGTGTCTGGTATGGTGTTTTGTTATAATGGTTGTCCATTTGAATGGAAGTCCCAGACACAAACCATTATTTGTCTCTCCACAACAGAGAGTGAATTATGTGCATGTGTTCAGGCCACTCGTGATGTGGAATGGTATCTGCAAGTATTCGCAGACCTACAGATGCAAGTAACACTACCAGTAAAAGTTTACCTTGATTCCCAGAGTGGACTCGCTATCCTATGTTCAGAAACCAATACGCAGCGCACTAAAGTCTTAAGATTACGTTTACAGTTTGTAAAGAAACTAATTGCTGATGAAATGGTTGTATTTAAATATGTTCCAGGTGACAATCAAATTGCAGACATTTTTACTAAAGCACTTCCAAAAGGTATACATGAAAAACATGTACAAAGTATGCTTTATGTTTTTGTTCCACAATGATGAACCGCAGGGGAAATGTTGAATGGTTTAATATGTAAAGGTTCATCATTGTTCCACTCGATGTGTATGTCTTTAAGGGGCCAGAGAAAGGGCCAGAGCAAAATAACGAGACCCAGCTTTACAGCTGTGAAACATAGCAGGTGCTGCTGAGTTGTATTGATTAAGCTGTGTTGGTAATTGGGTGTAGTATATAAGGAGCAGCACCTAGCTCTCCCATTACCCTGGGGGATGGGTTGGTGGTTGGGTCATGTTTGTTTGTTAATGTATTTAGTGTAAAAGGAGTTTTTGTTTTTCTTATTAAAACCTTGTTTAAGTTATTTTTGAGTCCCTTTTTAATGCATGGTCTCCCCAGCAAGCTCTCTGCAGCGCTACCATACTGCAAAAAGTCAACAAGGGGTCCCTTTACCTTTACCTATAGAAAACTCTAAATAAAGACATCGCAGAAATGGTTCACAGTGACCTTGACTTTCTTCCCTTATTTCTTCATGGTGATCTACTAAAATTCTTCCTAAGCCTCTGTCTAGAATCTCTCTGTTTCAGGTGTGGTAGAACTGGCCAATATTTTGGCTGACGTGTTTTTCTGTAGATGCCTCCTGTTGGTATTTTGAAACCAATTTAACTCTATTAGTGCCACTACCTGATTCAATCAGTCCACTGACATTTGAAATAACACTGTACTGTGCCCAATTAAAGGAACCCTGTTGGTTTCACAGCATTTAAAAGTTTATAGCCTGCCAAAGGTAAGAGAAATAATGAAGGCATTTTCTCCATTTATTCTGAGTGGCACACACTTGTTCACCTATTCTCCATCTGTTTTCGGTACACATTAAATGATAGGGTAAATCCCCTGTATAGGCAGGGACATAATCTTGTGCAATGCGGTTGTTGTTGTTATTGCTGATGATTCTAGAACAGTGTGTCCCCAACTTGGGTCTCCAGCAATTTTTGGACTACAATTCCCTTCATTCCTGACCACTGGTTCTGCTACCCAAGGATGATGGGAGTTGTAGTTCAAAAACTGCTGGAGACCCAAGTTGGGGACATACTGTTCTAGAAGATGGCTATGAGAGTTAAGCAGAAGAAACAGCAGCCCCATGTGATGTACTTACTGGTTGATGGGTTGCAGGGGATAAAATGTGTGAATATAACTCCCTTCACATGTTGAACTCGCTTGTCTGAGACAAGGGAAGCCTAGATCTAAACATCGCCCTGATATATTAATGTTCTTTGTTAAGGAAAGATTGTTCAAACAGAGCTGAGTTCAAACAGCTCCCATATCATTTGCAGGATCTCCCTTTTGCATAGCTGTCAACCTTCCCTTATTTGGCGGGAAACTCCCTTATTCCAGTGCTGTTTCCCGCTGCTATCCCAGATTGTTGATATCCCGTAAATTTCCCGGATTTCAAAGGAAGCAGCTCCTCTCCCTGCCGGCTCCCTGCCAGCCAGGGAGGCTCCTCAACTGCGTTGCTTGGCTGCCCAGTAAGGAGTCTGAGAATGACTGGGGGGTGGAGCTTGCATGCCTTGTGCTGATCAAATCGGCCACGTTGCCTGGGGACTTGCCTTTGCTCAGCGCTTCTCAGCGGAGAGGTGACGGTGGTTTTCCTTGCTGCTGTATCCCTTTGCTGGGTTGCTGCGCTGTGGGAACCACCGCTTGAGGCTTCGTTTGGCTGCTGGCTGGGCTTTCTGCCTTTGGGCCTTTGGCTCGGAGGGGCTCTACTCTCTCTCTCTCTGTGTGTGTGTGTGTGTGTGTGAGAGAGAGAGAGAGAGAGAGAGAGAGAGAGAGAATGTGTCACTTAAGCTGATAGTAGGAATGCTGTAGCTTCACACACTTACCTTCACACAATGTGTAATTAACTTGGGGAATTTTTTTACCGCAGGATGTGGTGAGGTCAGTACTTTAGATTTGCAAGGGGATCTGAGAGATGAATGGGAGATACGGTTTGTCAGTATTAATGGACAGCTAAATAGAAACTTAACCCCAAAAGTTAGGACCAAGATTCAAATCCTGACTGGGTAACTTTGCTCACTAATAACATTGAACCATGAGGACGAGATGGTTGGACAGTGTTCTTGAAGCTACCAGCATGAGTTTGCCTGTACATGTAACTATATACTTTACCCAAAAGAAACTATGGAAATCTTGAAGATTTATTCCAGTTTCTGGGAACGTGAACTGTTGGTCTGTTTTACTGAGGCGAATATGGTTGTTGTAGTTGTTATTTATTATTTACCATATTACTCATGTACTACCATAAAACTGGAATTGTAATTAACCCCCACCTCAGATTTTTTTTTTAAAAAATCAGTTTTAACTTTAGAGTTGCTGGAAAATAACCAAGTCAGTAAAGAAACAGGTATCTTTTTTTATTTTATTGATTTTGCTCTGCATGGTAGTAAATGGTGTCAGCAGTCGGAAAGCAGATCAATAGGTCAGAATGTGCTGATGATTTAAAAATTCCGGTAGTCTTAAGATAAGCACATCAAGTCTCTCAGTGATATCTATCTATCTATCTATCTATCTGTTTGTCTATCCAGCTATCTATCTGTCTAATCTAAACTAACTAACGAACACAGCCCATTTTCTTTTTATGGGTTGTCCTAATACACTAAAAAAATCATTTAGCTATTTTGGAGCCCTATCAGTTAAGACACTTTTATTGTCTTCCGCTTTTTATAGTGGCATGGATTTATATTTGGGGGTAGACTGTTTGGAGGTATATACAACCAATTGAATATCTACAATCATACAACCAAATCCTTTGTCAACAAAGTCAGTAGGAGTGTTCACACGTTACATTATATGAGTGAACACTCTGGCAACCTGTGTACACAAGGGGTTGAATTGTACAAGGGCATGCTCTTTCACGTAAACACTTGTACATGTGTTGGGGGCCTGTGTAATCTCAACTGGAATGGAGTTCTGTTGAATGGAACTCGCCGTACTGAATGTGCAGCCATGCATTTGGGCCGGGGGGGACCACCAACAGAGACTCCTGTGAAGATCTCAGCCTGGACCCTCGTTGTTAAGAGCCCTCTAAATGAATGCAAGAACCTTAAATCTGGCCTGGTAGCATATGGACAGCCAGTGCAAGCTTTTAAGCATGGATGTTATTCGCTGGTGGCAATCTGCCTCCACCAACAGTCTAGCTATAGCATTGTTCACCAGCTGGCACTTCTGGACCAAGGCCAAGAGTAGCCCCTCAGAGAGCACGTCGCAATGTTGTTGCTAATGTGTTGATTTATCTGCTCTGCTTTTATTTGTTTCACAATTTACTGTGGAATTTAGAATGGCGTTACTTTTTTTTTTAATGTTGTTAGGTGGCTTGGTAATCTTTGAGTGAGCGGTGGGGTATGAACATTTTAATCAGTGAATTTAAAATAAACACAACTTCATTTCTGCTTCATTCCTGTATTATTATCTCCACTTGCTATATAAAGAATGATACTGTTACGAGGGGTGTGTTGTTTTTTTGGGGGGGGGGAGTAGGCTGTATGCCAAGACCCTTCTAATGTCTGCCTGCCTCTCATTCTTGGATTAGCCAAGCTAGCTTCCTCCTGAGGTGATGGGCCATTAATGGAACAAAACAAAATGGCTTTTTTCAGCTGGAACTCACCGGAACTCAGTTCCAGCGCCTCTCAGGCGGGCACCACTGTCATTAAAAGAGAACAAGGGAGCTGATCATGGTGGGTTCTGGCACCTCTTTTTCTAGAAAAAATAGCACTGGAACAAAGGAAAGAGCTTTGCGTGGGAAGTCAAATGGCTGAGGCTTCTTCCCTCAACTTGCAATAGTTAGAAGGACAAAGGCAGAGAGTTGAGAGCAGAGAGCTGGAGAGATGTGAACCAGCTAGAAGTAAGAGAGTGGGAGCAATGTTTGAATCCAAGGCTGTGGCTATGGGGGAAGCAAGGCCTTCATGGGATGTTAATGCTGTGAACCCATCCGTCATAGGCTCAGGTTGATTATATGTGTAAATAAGCCATATATCATAAAGACACCACAGTCTCTGCTGTGCCTCATTCCAAAAGGAAGTACGAACCCTGAGTAAGTGCCTGGAGCCTTGCATTGCTCGAAGACTGGGGTGGTGTGCAACCGTACTCTTAAACCGGCTCCCCCCCCCTGCTTTAAGGGCAAGCTTTGTGCTTTAAGAGAATGGGCTGCATACCCATTTGCTAACACAGTGCTTTTAAGTCTACAGGTCTATGAAGCCACTGTAGTCTTAGAATGTTGGAAGGGCCTAATCACAATGGATGATGGATGATTTCAGTGAAGTCACAGATGCGGAAGGAAAAATGACCTTCGTCCTCCCTAGTTGCGGGATAAGTTGAACTCTTCAAGTATAGATAAAAAATTATTGTTCTTGATTAAATGTCTGTATAAAAACACTGTGCTGAAAGTGTGTTGCTCTACAAATGGGTAGCACACAGGATCCTTACCAGCCACAAAGGGAGTTGAGCAAGGTTGTATCCTAGCTCCCGCATTGCTTAATTTATATATAAATGATATTGTACAGAGTTAAACATCTCCAGAGTATCATGCCCCTAAACTGGCCACAAAAGCCATCTCTATATTATTTTACGCAGATGATGTGGTACTTCTATCTCAAGATTAGGCCTAAAAAGACTGATGAGGGCATTCTCAGGATACAAATAAATTGTTGTTGTTGTTGTTGTTGTTGTTGTTGTTGTTGTTGTTGTACTGTGCTGCCCAGGACTGTTTTTCAGGCTTGGAAATGTACACATGAGCCCAAAAGACTGCCGACCCCCTGCTTTAGAAACATACAACATTCACCATATTTGCTTTAGCATATTTTTCTGAATGCTAGGAGGATTTGTTTTCTTTCTTTCCAATTCTTACTACCATGCATTTCATGTGACTGTTCCAGAGTAAACAGTTTCAGGGCTTTGGCTATAAAATTGACAGAGCAGTCCTAAGCACATTTACTTGAATGTAAACCCATTGGCTGCGATAGCATTTACTTCCTCGGATGGAGGAACAAACTGTTCTGCATTGTATACTGAGGCGATAATTGTTAAGTGCACAGATATGGGAAAACAGACACTGTATAATTACAGACAACATGTCACGCGAGAGACAGTAGGTTCCATGGAAAAGTTCACCCTTTTTAAGAAAGTAATATAATTCTATGGCTTGCAAGGGCTGAATTGCTTCCATGGAGATGAACAGACGTTTTGCTATAATCTTCAAGGAGGTTTTCCAAGAAATCTCAACAACTATTTTCTTTCAAAAAGGTCAACTGGAAGGTTGCATTCAATAGTAATTAAGTGTCAGTCATCTATCTGGAAATAGTAATGACCTACAACATTTTTACAGGTAGCTGGGGAAGCAGAATTCTGATGTTCAAACACGTAGAAGAATTTAGTCAGAAGCAGAAACTTTCTCAAGGTGAATTTTAGTATGAGATTGAGTGACCTTTTCTTCACACCACTCTTTTCATTTCGCATATCCTGTTCATTTCATCCTCTAGTTTCTTCTTGGAATCCATTCATTTTCAGGGGGAGACTCAGAGCAGGTTCATTACAGTGGAAGCAAAGTTGGGTCCTTGGTTTATGATTTTGGGAGATAGAAGATCATTTCTGTAGCCTTAAAATAAATGAGTGGCTGGTCTGGGATTAAAATCAGGGTTTCCATGGTGGGATAATTCCCAGACTAAATCAGATTATCAAACAGTTGAAGTCAAACAAGTAGGGTTGGATGCAGATGTGTAAGAAGAATTCTGCTCACTCAGTGAGTGGTATAAACCACTTAGCTTCTTGGGCTTGCTGATCCGAAGGTCGGCGGTTCGAATCCCCACAACAGGGTGAGCTCCTGTTGTTCTGTCCCAGCTCCTGCCAAACTAGCAGTTCGAAAGCACACCAGTGCAAGTAGATGAATAGGTACCACTGCTTCTGTGAGCTCTGGCTTCCGTCACGGTGTTCCGTTGCACCAGAAGCGGTTTAGTCATGCTGGCCACATGACCAGGAAAGCTGTCTGTGGACAAACGCCAGCTTCTTTGGCCTGAAAGCGAGATGAGCGCCACACCCCATAGTTGCCTTTGACTGGACTTAACCGTCCAGGGGTCCTTTACCTTTACCTTACCTTTTATTTTCTGCCCAGTTCTTCCCACTGCAGATCCTGACAAATCCTGAAAGGCATGCTTAATAGGCATTCATTCTTGAATGACTTTGGAGAATGACTCAGTGGAAGGGGAAAATTAGTGGAAATGGGAGGGTACTTTGCATTTTCAATCCCACTTCTTTAAACAGCTTTATAAGGAAAGGCTATTACTTTTATACCCAGATTATGATTTATCAGAGACAAATAGTTGGCTGCTGTTGGGATAGAATCCCTTTGGTCTGATTCACACAGGCAGTTCTTCAGATACAGTGGTACCTTGGTTCTCAAACGCCGGAAACCTGGAAGTAACTGTTCCAGTTTTTGAACATTTTTCGGAAGCCGAACGTCCAATGCAGCTGTCAGCTATTGTTTCCAGGACACCTGCACCAATCAGAAGCTGTGCCTTGATTTTCGAACATTTCGGAAGTAAAACGGACTTCCAGAATGGATTAAGTTTGGCGCTTTTGTTTTTGCTATTTATTTTGCGTTTTTTGAGGCTTTTTTGGTTAAATTGTTTTTGTGACTATGTTGAACCCAGTTCAGCTACAATACTGTCTTATTTATTTTATAGTACAGTGCATTTTTATGGGTCAATGATCTCGCTAGATAGTAAAATTCATGTTAAATTGCTGTTTTAGGGGTTGTTTTTAAAAGTCTGGAATGGATTAATCCATTTTACATTACTGTCTATGGGAGAGCATGCCTTGGTTTTGGAACGCTTTGGTTTTGGAACGGACTTGTGGAATGGATTAAGTTTGAGAACCAAGGTACCACTGTGCTTTTTAAGGAATTGAGAGTCCCACAAGCCCAACTTAATTGAATTGGTGTTTGCAATGCAGCTGTACTTGTTTTTCCCTCTTTCAGCATAACTGGCCAATAGTTCAACCCCAAATGTTGAGCAGATTGTCTTCCTTTTTTCTTTCTTTCAGAACTTGGCAATATAGAAAGGGACATTTTCCCCATTATCTCAGCTATGGCGGATGAGTAGAAAATAAGCATGGTGTGATAATCCTGATTGAAAGTCAGGGTCAACTTGGTTATTGCCTTGCCTTTTTTTTTTTTTTAATCAAGAGAAATAATAGAGTTTGGTATCCGTCATTCTGAGATTACATCATGAAGTCATTAAAAAAAAAAATTCAAGGAGGAAGCAAAAATAATTAAAAAGGATCAAAATAGGTCATCTTGCAGGACAAATTAAAGAAATTAATACTGTATGTGCAGGTTTCAGAAACTGGACTGGCAAAGCTCCTTCAATTTCCCACAGTTGTTTGAAATACAGAGATGTAAAAGATTTATTTACGGTGGTTGAAATTAGAATGGGAATATCAGACCAAAATTTCTTGGAGGAGGAAAAAAAAGAGAGGGACAGAAATAGCTTCTGTATTGAGGAACAGGGTAAACATGGGTGGCCTCCTTCTGTGTGTGCACACTAAGCAGGCCAGCAAATATCCTCTTGGTCTGCATTTTGGATTGGATGTTTCTGTTCGCTGTGAATAACATTTCACGGAAGAAATGAGGGAGCATAATTGCATGGCTAGAGGGTAGGATGAGTATAACTTCTTCACTGTAACGATGGAGAGTGGAAGCATATACTTTGAAATGGAAATTAAATCCTTTGACTGACAAGTTCTCATGCATACTGTTTGTGCTATGTGACTCCCCGTCACGTGATTCCACCTCCTCTCACATGTGGCTGATGTGAAAAAAATGTGTGCTGTGTGTCAGATTTCTGGTCGATCTTCTGGTCTTCTGGAAGGGGCCTTGGTGATCATGCTACAATTGACGAATGTCACCTTATGGCATCCCAAAAGAGAGCCTTCTCAGTAGCTGCACACCACACTCTGGAATGTCCTCCCAAGTGCTGTTTATGAGGAAGAAACTGTCAATGAAATTCTACTCAGTAGTGATCCAGAGCAGAACTCCAATGTATAGTTAGCAGAGTAAAAACTTAAACACGTTGCAGGATTCCCAAGAAACAGACCAGAGGCAATTAATATTTCATCTAGCAGAGCTTTAATGCTGGTGAAGGCAGATGAGCAATACATTCAGGATTGGCACTGTCCATAAGAAATCCAGTTGCAGCAGACTTAACTTAAACTTACAATAACTTATAATAAGTCTAAAACCTTAACACTAAGCATACTATGTACAGAACACCACATCAGAAGGAAAAGAGACGGAAAGAGTGAAATTCAAGCTCCTTCTGGCCTTACTTTTATAGTCAGCATGACCTTGACAGAAAGAGATAAGAGAACCCTCAGCTTCTCTGAAGGAATAACCCAAACATCATGAACCTGCTTCCTTGCTTCTTTCACACAGAGAAGCTTCCAGAACCCACTTGAATTAAGTAGAATAGGAAATATCTCTACACAGCAGATCAATACTTTCTGCACTAAGAAATGCAAACTGACAGAAAACTGCAAACTTTTCACCCCTTCCTATTTATTTTATTAATTTATTTATTGTTGAACACAGACACACAGACATACCCCCCCCCTTTCAGCAATACTTCCAGAGTGGTTGACAAGAGGAAGAGAACATTAAAAAAGTCAGAATAAAATATTTATTTCAAAACCTTAGAATTTTTTATAATTTTTAAAACCCTGGTAAACAGAAACGTTTTTGTGTGGCACCAAAAGGATAACTAAGTTCATACCAGGAAGGCCTCCTTGGGGAAGGAAGTTGTAGACCTACGGCAGCAACACCAATTGATGTTTCTACAATTATACATTTTTAAAATAAATGTATACCTGAAGGAGTATCTTCACTTCCATCATCCAGACACTGAGATCCAGCTCCAAGGGCCTTCTGGTGGTTCCCTCACTGCGAGAAGTGAGGATACAGGGAACCAGGCAGAGGGCCTTCTTTGTAGTGGCACCTGCCGCGTGGAACGCCCTCCCATCAGATGTCAGACAGATAAATAACTATCTGACTTTTAGAAGACATCTGAAGGCAGCCCCGTACAATGAAGCTTTTAATGGTTAATGCTTTATTGTGTTTTTAATATTTTGTTGGGAGCCTCCCAGAGTGCCTGGGGCAACCCAGTCAGATGGGTGGTATATTATAATAAAATCATCATCATCATCATCATCATCCCTTCCTATTTTAATTTTCTGTGCTGTTTATATTATAACCTAGGAGGGCAAGGACATGAAAACTCATATATGACATAACTGCTTCAGATCCTAATAAAGGTAAAGGGACCCCTGATCATTAGGTCCAGTTGTGACCGACTCTGGGGTTGCGGTGCTCATCTCGCTTTGTTGGCTGAGGGAGCCGGCGTAGAGCTTCCGGGTCATGTGGCCAGCATGACTAAGCCGCTTCTGGCGAACCAGAGCAGCGCACGGAAACACCGTTTACCTTCCCACTGGAGTGGTACCTATTTATCTACTTGCACTTTGATGTGCTTTCGAACTGCTAGGTTGGCAGGAGCAGGGACCGAGCAACGGGAGCTCACCCCGTCGCGGGGATTCGAACTGCCGAACTTCTGATTGGCAAGTCCTAGGCTCTGTGGTTTAACCCACAGCGCCACCCGCGTCCCTTAGATCCTAATATTTCAGATCCTAATATTTTATAGCATTTGTTTTATTATAATTCTGAAAGACAGAATAAGTCAATTATTGTCTCTTTCTACAAATTTATCAAGTATAAAACTGCTGAGATTGGATAAAAGGGTGAGTAATCACTGATTTTTCTAGCTATGGCAGTCTCTGTTGACTGGTTCACACATGAATGTCCCTTGCTTTGTTTCTGTACAGTTGAGGCCCTGAAGATGGGCATTTGTATTAATTCCAGTGAAAAATAATGCACTAAAGGAGATGACAGGTGATTAATTTAACTTATTAATTTATTGTATTTCTTTTTTCTTTTCTTTTTTTTTTGTAGAATGGTAGAATATGTGGAGATGGCAAAGCTGACGGGGAAGATCCGGAATCGGCGAGACAAACCGTTTCAGAAGGACTGGAGCAAATTTATATTTTATATGAAAGAAAATTGTAAACATTTGAAAACATTTGTAGGTTTGAATTGAAATGTCTTGTAATGTGAAAATAAGGAACCGATTTACATATAAAGAGGTGATTTTTTTTTAAAGAAGGTAAAAAAAGTGGCTATAGAAATGCGAAGAATTTACTAAAAGATTTTGGGAAGTTAGAAAGAGGGAGGGAAGGAAGTCGATGCTCTGTTTGAGCAATGCTTTATGTTATAGATTTGTGTAATGAAATGTAATTAAATATGGAAAACTCAATAAAAATCATTATAAAAATAAAAATAAATTTATTGTATTTCTAATCTATCCTGCACCAACCGGTCACTGGACAGAAGTACAATAACAACACATCAATAAAACAATATCATAATAAGTATTAATTAAAGAATAATGGAAAGATCCTTGGATACTCAAGATCAACTTCTTCACACATCACACATGGAGCTCACCATCACGGGATGCAACGATGGCCACCAACTTAGATTGCCTTAAAAGAGACTTAGACAAATTCATGGAGGAGAGGGATATCAATGAAGACTATGCGCTGCCTCCATCAGGCAAGACCTTCTTCCACCTGCCTTTCCCCACCCCCCGGCCCTGGGACTCCTCATAAGGAAGTTGTGCCTGGAGGAAGAACCGTGAGGGGAGAGACTCCATCAGGCAAGGTTCTCTTCCACCTGCCTTGCTCCAACCTCTAGTCTCTGCTTCTAAATTTCTATTGTACAGTGGTACCTCAGGTTAAGAACTTAATTTGTTCTGGAGGTCCATTCCTAATCTGAAACTGTTCTTAACCTGAAGCACCACTTTAGCTAATGGGGCCTCCTGCTGCCGCTGCGCCGCTGGAGCACAATTTCTGTTCTCATCCTGAAACAAAGTTCTTAACCCGAGGTACTATTTCTGGTTAGCAGAGTCTATAACCTGAAACATCTGTAACCCGAGGTACCACTGTATTATTTCATGTACTGTGGCTTGCCGTTGTTTTATTGATTATAGTTTAGAAATTATTTATAGCAGCTGTTAAGGGTGAATTTCTGTTTAACTTTTATATGCTGATATTATTATTTTATACTATTCTAATGATTGTTGAATGTTACTTTTCTGATGTAGGTTGCTTATTTCAAAGTTATGTTTTATTATCACATTTTTGTATTGCATTAGATTGTTATAAGATGTACATTTTTTGTTTCTTCAGCTTGTAAACCACCTTGAGTATTGTAAGATAGAAATATGGTATACAAATTAAAAATGATGATGATGATGTTCTTAACTGGCAGCATCTTGTGACAAATCTCAGCCCCTCCAAAAGTCCTTGGGGAAGATACACATCTTCCCCAATCAACAAAAAGAAAGCAGTGTCTGTGTTGGATGCATCTCTGAATGGAGGCCATTCCAGAGGTGAAGGTCTTTCACATGCCACCACTGGTTGAACTGCATGTCATGATGGAACCACAAGTGGATTTGGAACCCTGCAAAACTTAATGCATGGATCAGAAAGAGTTCCTGAAGATATGGGTCCCATGTCCTTTGGGGGCTTTATATGTTAGTGTAATCACCTTGAATTGGGTCTGGAAATAGACAACCAGTGCAGATCCTTCAGAACTGGTGTTGTATGACTCTGACCCAAAGCAACTGCCATCACTCCTACCTCTGCATTCTGTGCTAGTTGAAATATCTGAACTGTTTTCAAGGGCAGCACCACACTGAGCGCAATTTAAAACTTCTGCTGATGGTTTTAGATCTATCAAGGCTCACTCTCATGGATGTTATTTAGATGTTGCAGCGAGGAACCAAGTGATCTGCATACATGTATGTGTGAATTAGCTTTCTGAGCAGAAGCAGAAGTCGCCTTGAAAGATTTTAGGCAATGTATAAATTGTTGGGATACTGCCAGGGAGACAAAGTCCATCATGACTCCACGTCGTCTCTGGACGTCCATCGATCTCCCGTAGACACGCAGTATCAGCAATTAGCAACACGAGCTCCAGAAATAGTTTGCCACATTCCAGAGCTGATGCACGCTCTATCAGCAGATAATGCACAGCGAAAGATGCACTCAGGAGAGCATTATTTACAAGTTTATTCAGCGCTGATCAGAACAAAGAAAACATGACTGCCTGCTTCAGTGTCTCAGACACACACAGAGAGAAACAAAAGCAAAGACACAACAGAAACATCCTGTGAACAGGAAATACGCAGGCTCTGACACAAACATCCTGCTCCCTTTTAAGGTAGAACAGAAATATCCTAACATAAATATGTCAAATAACTATATAGAAGGGCCAGCACAGCTGAAGCAACAGGAAAATTGTGTCTCCTGGAAGTGAGAACTTAATTCGTCAAAAAGCTACTGAAATTTCAGCTCAAAGTAATCTTAAAGATCCCAAGTTCCAATCCTATAAATCAGCTCTTGACAACTTTACTTGCTTTGGCACAAGTAGTTACTCAGCAATTAGAACTGGCCATCCTTGCCAAAAAGAATCTTGGTCTGCAAAACACAATAGGCATAACAGTTGTCCTGTTGTAAATCTAACATCCAGCTCTGCCAAGTATCCCACAGATATTCTCTAAGCTTTCCTTTGACTTTCCTTTCAATATTTTTACCTTCCTCTGTTAAACCCAGGCATGTACAAAATCATTTCCCACTATTTAATCCTCATTCACCAGAACACCTTCAATTCATAGTGTTTTCTGCCTTCTCTCCATGCTTCTGATCCTCCATTGCCAGACTCTCTTCTTCACATACCCAGTGGGGCAGGTCTTCCTTCCGCTTCTGGCACAGGAGCTTGAGAGTCCATCAACTTCTCGGTAAGCTCAGTCCAATTTATTCTGCAATGGACAATGCACAATAACTCACTGGCATCAGGAAACTTTAAGTCAAAGTGCACTGTTGGGAGTTACAGTTCAAGAGCTGCAGCTGTGATACCACATATTCAAAACATAAATCATAGGTGTCCCCATGGAGACTGGAACCTTGGCATTGTGATGTAAGATGCAGGGAGCAGGAAGAGACATTACCTGGGAGCAGGTAGGCAAGTGATATGCTGCTCCTTGCATGCTGAGGGGGTTGGTTGCTGGATTTACAGCTTTGGTTTTCAGTTTGTTTTCCAAAACACAAATTCGTGGAACAAAGAGTCATCGTCCTAGAGCTCTTACAATAGTGCTGCCACTTCACTCGGTTGGCGTCTTGCTCTGCCACTGGTGCTCTTCCTATGTTGAATTACAACAGGCAAATTAACCAAGACATCAATGAGCCAATGCTGGTTTTATCTCAAATGTAAGTAAGTAGCCTCATTTATGCTGACTTTTGGAAAGGGTTCATTTCTTCCTTCAGTAACCTCAGGTTGAAATAAACAGAATAATATGTCTTCTGTAATTGTTTCTAATAATAAGCAGAGAAAGAAAACAAACCCTTTGATTGGTTTAGCATGCTCTTTGTGGAACCTTGTAATATCCCAGACTAACAAGAGTCTGCATTTACCTGTGCATTAATGGATGCGAGAACAACAAATTCACTCACAGTGATGAGTTCCCATTGCCTTTAATGATGCCTCTGCTTCTTACAAGTGCAGCTAGGAAAAGTGCAGAGCAGTGTCATTTGTTGCTTCCAAACACTGTTTATTTTTTATCTTTATGCAAAGAAAATAAGAGGCTGGGTTGACAGAAAAGCACAGCAAAGAGTCAGTCCAATGGTCAATTTCACAAGTGTCACAGTTGCCACCTCATTGCAAAGCAATACAATTGAAATGCAATGGATTATCATAATCTTAACTGGAGTTGCAGTACCATCAACAGAAACTTAGCAAAATGATTGCCTTTCACGATGCTTTCTGGCAGTCAGAATAGTCCTCTGAGAAATGGAGCCATCTTCTTCTTCTTCTTTGGCGATCACTCATAGCCGAGGATGATTGTCTTCCATAAACACGGTTTTAACAATGAGTCCGTAAGTGACTGTGGAGGCCAATTCTGGATCCACACGTCCTTCCACAGTGGGGACATTTGTTTCTGGATGGGAGTTGATCACGGTGTGGATTTGCCAAGCGTGCCTTCCTCTTAGCACGTTTCTCCCTTGCGTTCTGAGTTCAAGTGTCTTCAAAGTCCATGGCAGCTTTGGTAAAGGCTGTTCTCCAACTGGAGCTCTCAAAGGCCAGTGTTTCCCAGTTGTCAGTGTTTATACTACATTTTTAAAGATTTGCCTTGAGACAGTCTTTAAACCTCTTTTTTTTGACCACCGGAATTACATTTTCCATTTTTAAGTTGGGAATAGAGTAGTTGCTTTGGAAGACGATAATCAGGCATCCACACATGACCAGTCCAACGAAGTTGATGTTGAAGAATCATTGCTTCAACACTGTCAATCTTTGCTTTTTCCAGTACACTGGCATTAGCTCGCCTGTCTTCCCAAGTGATGTGTAAAATTTTTCGGAGACACTGTTGATGGAATCTTTCGAGGAGTTGGAGATGGTGTTTATAAGTGGTCCATGTTTCACAAGCATACAGTAAGTTTGGTAGTACAATAGCTTTGTAAACAAGCATTTTGGTGTCCTGGTCCTCAAACACTGCACTTCAATTGGGAGAAAGCTGCACTCGCAGAGCTCAGGCAATGCTGGATTTTGGCATCAATGTCGGCCCTTGTGGATAGACAACTGACTAGGTAGGAGAAGTGATTGACATTTTCCAGCATTACACCATGGAGTTGGTGTTTGCAGACTTCTACAGAATAGTAATGTTATTCTCAGCATTAAGTCGGATCCCCTCATTCTTCTTTATCAGGAGAATCATAGACCTACAGGAACAGAAATGTTCCAGCCTCAGTAAGGGTCTGCCTATTGACCTACTTACCTACCTAATAGACCTAATGCAAATAAACCTAATTGCTAGGTGTTGAGCTATGTGCAGTTGTGGATGTTGCATGCGAAGGTTGTGTGTATGTAGCAACTGGAACTTTGTGTACATAGCCCTGGTTAGAGCAGCTGTGATATTGTGGGGAGGAAGAGCAGTGGGCTCCCCCCTTTCTGAATGCCAATGATCTGATAAGAGCTCTGGGCACAAGTGCAGTTGAGTCAAGGCACAGGGTTTTTTTGTTTTTCTTTCTTAAGTTGCAAGCTTGGTCATTTCCATTGTGTCCTGCGAAAAAATATTGGTGAAGAATGGCAAAAAATCATGGATCCCCACTCTACAGTCCTATGATATGAAACATGCGACATACACATGTGTTTGGAAGTACAGTGGTGCCTCGCAAGACGAAATTAATCCGTTCCGCGAGTCTCTTTGTCTTGCGGTTTTTTCGTCTTGCGAAGCATGGCTATTAGCGGCTTAGCGGCTTAGCGGCTATTAACGGCTTAGCGGCTTAGCGGCTTTAAGAAAAAGGAAACAAACTCGCAAGAACTCGCAAGACGTTTCGTCTTGCGAAGCAAGCCCATAGGGAAATTCGTCTTGCGGAACGACTAAAAAAATGGAAAACTTTCGTCTAGTGAGTTTTTCGTCTTGCGAGGCATTCGTCTTGCGGGGCACCACTGTAGTATACAGTGGTACCTTGGTTCTCAAACGCTGAAAACCCGAAAGTAAGTGTTCCCGTTTTTGAACATTTTTCGGAAGCCAAACGTCCGATGTGGCTGTTAGCTATTGTTTCCGGGGCACCTGCACCAATCAGAAGCTGCACCTAGGTTTTCAAACATTTCGGAAGTCAAACGGATTTCCAGAATGGATTAAGTTTGGTGCTTTTGTTTTTGCTATTTATTTTGCATTTTTGTTTTTGAGGCTTTTCCAGTTAATTCGTTTTTGTGACTGTGTGGAGCCCGGTTCAGCTACTGATTGGTTGATTGATTGATTGATTATGTGAATGCAGAAATGGCTAAAAGCCCCCCATCCAAACAATGACTATCATCAGTGCAGGTAAGAAAATAATAATAATTTTTATCATCTACTATACTGTCTTATTTATTTTATACTACGGTACATTGATTATTGTTTTCATTTTATCAATGGTCTTGTTAGATAGTAAAATTCATGTTAGGTTTTTTTTTAAAAAAAGTTTGGAATGGATTAATCCGTTTTGCATTACTTTCTATGGAAAAGCATGCCTTGGTTTTGGAACACTTTGGTTTTGGAACGGACTTCCGGAATGGATAAAGTTTGAGAACCAAGGTACTACTATAATACCTGGCAAGGCAAAATAAAAATAGACCACTGCATAAATTAATTTGCAGCATTTAAAATGCCTGCCCCTTTCTGTAGCATCAATGGGCATCATCTGCTGAGTATCCTTAGCTGGATATATATTTTGCAGCACAAATGTTATTTGCATACACTAAAGTGAAAAACAGCATATACAAAATACGAACTGAATATTTTACAGTGTGGTCCTCCACTCTTGGGGAATATGTTGCCAACTAATTAACGGTTTGGGTATTGTCCATATGCCTCCGATTGCTCATTCTTTGCCAGTCTTTATCTGCCTGGCAATAAGCACAAATCTTCACGTTGCTGCCCCCCCCCCCCAGATTCAGATAGGAGCCACTTGTTAATTTAGTTTAGGAATCTGGCAAATAGGGTTAGACTCATATCAATTCTCATTATGGCAGGGCAATGCATTGGAAAAGAGCTCAAAATGAGGATCCTTCTCAGTTAGAAAGCCCAACCTCATTTTGAGTTGGTCCAGTACCCATTGCATTGGGCATGGCTTGACAGGAGCTCAGATCCTGCGCCACCAATACCCAGACCTTCCTGCCAGACCCTTTCCCCAAGTCCTATGGTTCCTCGAGGGAAATAACACTTCACACCGAAGACTAGAATATTGGACTTGAAATGAACTGACCTTGGTTGAATGCTCTACTTCACCATGTAATTCACTGGGTTAGTTTAGGGAGGTCCCTATCTCCCAACCTCTCAGGATGATTACAAGGATAAAGTTACATATAGCTCCATGTATGACACCTAGAAGGAATGGTGGGATAGCAGTGAGCAACCCACCCATCGAGAATCCTTGCCAGTCTAATCCACATTCAATTTAACTTGCTTTGACATTCCTACTGAAAGTGTGTGTATGTGTATATTAACTTGTCATATGCCGTCAGATCGCGTAGCTCAGCGCTGTCTACGGTGATTGGCAGAAGGTTCCCAAGGACTCCAGTAAAGGTCCTTCCTAGCCATGCTACCTGAGCGTTTCAAGCTAGTTTTTGAACTTGACAAGGTCTACATGCAAATCATGTATTCTTGCTCCGAGCTTTGACCCCTCCCAGTTTTCCCACGGAGCAGGATCCTTCAATTTCACCTTAGAACTCATTTTAGACAAAACTTGCTGGCAACTTCAATTAATCTTGGCTTGCTATACTGGTGGAACGTAACAGAAAATATACTATTGATATGGTGTTTTTTTCCTGGCCGGGCAACAACAATTTCGCATGCAGAATATGTTTTAAACTAGAAGTATCATGTTTATTTGTTCTTGCTAATGGTTTGCTGGAATAATTTTTTACTTCATCTCTTGAAGATTTTCAGGCTCATCCTGTTAACTCTGACACCTCCCTTGCCATGCCTCATTGTGATGAGAAGGATGGATGCAGTGCATCCCCTTAACAATCCGATCCTTAATGATTTGCGTAATGAAGAAAGTGATTAATTTTGACGGATGGCCCAGATCCATCATATGCATGACTAGGCGGTGCAATAGCCTATGGAGTACGTAGTAATATAAGTTGGAGCAAGGTCCAGAATGACCTTGACAAATTAGCAGCAGTGCGTTTCATGCAGTACTTCTGCAGACCTGCCTGTATGTAGAGAAAAGGCGTAGTTAGTGTAGACTGAGCCGGAATACGGACAAAGAAAACAACAACAAGGTCCTTGTGAAATGGGATGTGTAAGGATATCAGGGGGTTACTTGAGAGCAATCAGGCAAATGCCTCCCTGGTCGGCTGTAAAGCCTCGTTATTGGTGCCAAAAACCCTTCACCATGCAGAGTGCCACTATTCCGTGGCTTGCTCATTCACTGGCAGAATCTATGAGTGGGTGGTCCTTAAACCTTCCCCAGCAGAGTAGTTTCCTGACGCCCAATCTGCGCCTCCCCTCTCGGCGTGGAACCCTACTGCGCAGGGACGGTGTGGGCAACGGAGGACCTCTCTCCTCCCCGCTTTGCCCAGACAAGGTGTCCTGGCACCGCCTCGCCTCCTCCGAGCCCTGAAGCTCCTCTCCACTGGAGGCGTGGTTACTCTCCTCTGCTGAGGAAGTGCTGCTTCCCACTATCTTTGGGGGCTCTCTGTAATCCATCCGACTTTCCCCCTCTTGCCCCTGAGCCGATGGCAGTTCCCTGACAGGATGTGTCAAAAGTGTTAGTAAAAACTAAACAGCACTTCTGTCGTGGGATCCAGTTGTATATGCATTACATGGGTGCCCAAATGAATTCCAAGATACCGGAAAAGCTTAAAACAAGATGATCCTTGAGTGCACACATTTGGAAGTTAAATAGTCTAAAGAGCAATAAGGAACGCTTCAAAATCAGCTTTTAATGTAGCCCTCCCTTGACTTGTCACTCTCCAGTTGTTTAAGAGGACAGCTGCCATTAGCTCTGGCTAGCATGAACATGGTCAAAGTTGAAGAGAGTTGTAATCCAAAATATCCAGAGAGCAACAGGTCCTGGGGAAGGCTGTTTTACAGCATAATTCTATAGGTGTCTACTCAGAAGTAAGTCCAATGGAGCTTCCTCCTCGGTCATAGGATTGCAGCCTTAATGTATGTTGCAGACAAATATGTAACTGATCTTGAGGAGGGGGACTTTCAGAATTAGGTATAAACAAATGAATGCCCCAAAATGATCTGTATATGTGTATGCGTGCACATTCAGTTTGTATTCTATATTAAGCACAGATGCACACACCTGACTGCTACTGAAAATACCCGCAACCAATTTAAGTGCATTAAACCAAGGGAAGTAAGCAGCACAGTTCTATAAGGGTCTCTCTGTATTGGGACTGCTGCTACTTAATGTCTGAAAAATATCTGGGGTCAGAGGTGAACAGTGAGGTAATCAAGTTTGCAGATTATGCCAAATTATTCAGGACGGTGAACTCCTAAATTGTCTGTGAAGGATTCAAGGTGGATCTCTCTAGACAGAATGAATGGGTAACAAAACGACAAACCAGTCAATGCAAATAAGTGCAAATTTGCACACTTCATAAATGTCTTCTGTTTTAAAGCTTTCTGTACATAAATTACAGTATGAATCTGAACTCAAGGACCATAATCAAAGGAATTTTTAGGCTTGATGCATAAAGACACATGAAATAGCTTTGAAATCTTTCTCCAATAATTTGGGCAGGGAAACTGAAATTAACTGTATTTCAGCCATCAACCACCCTTTTATATTGTGTTAGGCCGTATGTAATTACAAATGATGATTTTTGTGATATCTACATTTTTGTGATATGTTAAGCCTCCAATTTATCTGAAGTTGCACATTTTACTCCTTTCATGCTAAAGCATCTCCTATAATCTAGTTTTGAACAGAATTTTTCACGAGAGTTTTAAACAG